AAAAAAAAAAAAAAGACATAGGATAACAGATAATGGAAGACTATTAGCCCTGAGAGAAAGAGAAAAAAAAACAGTGAGCTTGGGCTTTCTGCTTAGAGCCATGATGCAGACAGAGATCATAGAGAGCTGAGTTGAGAATATCAGTCTCACAGTTCAAGCAGGCTGATGCAACTGGAAGTTGTGGGGCTGCTTCAGAAAGAAGCAGCTGCATAGAAAGGAAGCTCCAGAAACTTTCACCCTTGTTCCCTTGAGTTACTGCTAAGAACAGGCTGAGCCAAAAACAACTGAGAGCTGTTAAGCCAAACAAGTACCAGAACTCATAAAGGGTATACAGACAATCCAAGCAGACTGGACTATGCAGACTAAAAACTCTTTGGACCTTAATTCAAGACAAGGAATAGAAATCCAGAGGGCTAAAAAATAGTTGGAACAAAGGCTATTGTAGATATTCCTTTCAAAACTTCAATACATGTCTTGAAGGGGCCAAACTGGTCAAAAGTAAATTAACTCTTCACCAAAGCTAAGTCCAATACTCATTAAAGGAAAATAACAAAATCCAGGCTCTCAACAACTACCAATATCACAATGTCCAGCATCTAAGCAGAAACTACAAGGCATGTCAAGAAAGAAAAATGTGACCATACCATCTGAAAATTTAGTCAACAGAAACAGGGCCATAGATGACAAAGATGGCAAACTAGCAAATAGGTTGTTAAACAGCTATTATAACTATATTGAAGTATTTAAAAGAAAAAATAAATTCGACTAGAAAAGAAAAATACAAAAAAAAAAAAAAAAAAAAAAAAAAAAAAAAAAAAAAAAAAAAAAAAAAAAAAAAAAAAAAGAACCAAATGGAACTTCCATAAAAGAAAAACCCATCAACAATGAAAATCTTATTGGATGGGCTTAAGAGTAAATTAGATAAGACAGAAGAAAAGATCAGTAATAAAGAATTTAAAGATATAGTAATAAAATCTAACAAAATGAGGCCAAAGGAAAAAGCCAAGGGAAAAAAATGAATAGATCTTCAGTGACTTATGGGAAAATTACCAGCAGTCTAATGTATGTGTGTGTAATTGAAGGTATATTAAAAAAAAAAAAAAAAAAAAAAAAAAAAAAAAAAAAAAAAAAAAAAAAAAAGGAGTAGAAAGAAGGAAGAAAAAAATATTGGCCAAATCACATTTTCTAAATGTGATGAAAATAGTAAACTCATAGATCCAAAAAGTTCAGTGAATACCAAACAGGATAAAACACACATCAACCATGTTAGGTACGTCATAATTAAACAATCAAATTGTTGAAATCAATAATAAAGAAAACACTCCTCCAAGAGTCCCTGCCTGGTCATGCATGCAAGCAGTGTAGCCACCATTGTCCCACCAGAACACTTTTGCTGACATCCTCCTGCCAGAATTGTTTGCCTGTGACCTCACTGCCACTCCTTCAGCAAACTTCCCACCTGCTGAGTCCCTGTCCCCCATCAGAATGCCCCCCTCCTGTGATGCCCCTTGCCAGAGCTGCCCACCCAAGGCAAGCCAACTACCAATGCCAGAGTGCTTCCCACCTGTGGTGTTCCTGCTGGCACCACCAGAGAGCCTCTGGCTGAAGCATCCCCCTCCCACATGGCCCCGTGCCTGCAGTGCCCCTTGCTGGAGCACTTACCACCCAAAGTGCCCACAGGAGCATTTCCTGCATGTAGCCCCCTCACTTGCAGCACTCCCCATCATCCTGGCTAGAATACCGCTGCCTGTGGGACTCTCCTTACTAAAGCACTCCCACTTGCACACCACATACCCATGGCATTCCCCAGTGTGAGCACCCCCAACCTGAGGTAAAAAGTAATTTAGAAAATGAACAAAACCTCTAAGAAATATGGGGTTATATAAAGAGACCAAATCTACAACACTTTCCCATTCCAGGAAGAGAACAAGCAATTTGTTCTTTCTTTTTCTACAGTCCCCAGAACTTTTCCAAATCTCACTAGACAGGTCAATATGCAAATTGAAGAAATTCAAAGAACCTCTGTGACATATTATGCAAGATAACTATCCCGAAGACACATAGTCATCAGATTCTCCAAGGTCAATGTAAAAGAAAGAAATCATAAAGGTAGCTAGAGAAAAGAGCATTTACAAAAAGAATCCCATCCAGCTAATAGCACACCTTTCAACTTAAACCTTACACGCCAGAAGACAGTGGGGCCTATTTTCAATATCCTTAAAGAAACGAAATTCCAACCAAGAATTTCATATCCTATAAAACTAAACGTCATAACAAGGGAAAAATGAAGTCCTTTTCAGACATGCAAAATACTAAGGGGATTTACTACCACTAGACCTGGTTACAAGAGCTCCTAAATGGAGTGCTAAACATGGAAATGAAGAAATGATACCTGTCTTCACAAAGCACACTTAAACACATATTTCATTGTCACTATAAACTAACGATGCAATCAAGTCTACATAACAACCAACTAAAAATATGACAACAAAATCAAGCCCTAACATATCAATATTGACCCTGAATATAAATGGGTTAAATGACAGACTTAAAAGGAATAGAATGGCAAGTTGGATAAAGAAGCAAGTCAACTGTTTGCTGTCTTTGATGTTTCTCCATCCCTTTACTTTAAGCCTCTGGGTGTTGTTACCATCCCACAAGTAACAACACCCAGAGGCTCAAAGTAAAGGGATGAAGAAACATCTTTCAGGCAAACAGAAAACAAAAAAAGAGCGGGGGTCGCTATTCTTCTGCCAACTAAAACAGACTTTAAACCAACAACAATTAAGAAGGACAAGGAAAGGCATGACATAATAATAAAGAATTCAACTCAACAAGAAGACTTAGCTCTCCTAAATATGTACATGCCCAACATTTAAGCACTCAGATTCATCAAATAAGTTCTTCTTGACCTGTATAAAGACTTAGACAAATACAATAATAGTGAGAGATTTCAACATCCCACTGAAAGCATTAGACAAATCATCAAGGCAGAAACATAGCACAAAAATTCTGGACTGAAACTCAACACCTAATCAATTAGATTTAA